TCTCTCAGTGTCTGAGCCCCCCCAAATTTAACAGGAGAAGGTTTCTCAGTATCTCAGCCCCCCAAATTCACTTGGGGGGGTCTCTCAGTGTCTCAGCCCCCCCAAATTTAACAGGGGGGTCTCTCAGCCCCCCATATTTAACAGGGGGGGTCTCTAATCCCCCAAATTTAACAGGGGGGTCTCTCATCCCCCAAATTTAACTGGGGGGGTCTCTCATCCCCCAAATTTAACTGGGGGGGTCTCTAATCCCCCAAATTTAACTGGGGGGTCTCTCAGCCCCCAAATTTATCAGGGGGGTTCTCTCAGTGCCTGAGCCCCCCAAATTTAACTGGGGGGTCTCTCAGCCCCCCCAAATTTAACCTGGGGGGGGGTTACCTGGCGCCGGCCCCTTCGCAAGGTGTACGGCGGGGCCGCAGTGACTCTTGCCGAGCTCCCCCCGCCCTGGGGGGTCCCTGGGGGTCCCGGGGGGCACCCACCGGATGTGGCGCTGCCGGATCAGCACCCGGGCGTGGTGGATGGACTTGGCCAGGCCCAGCTTGAAGACCTGGGTCTGCAGGCGGCGCTCCAGGAAATCCTCGATCTTCAGCCCCAGGATGTAATCCAGCTTCATCTTCCCCTCGTCCAGCACCCCGATCCGCACCAGGCGCCGCAGCAGAGCGTTCCCTGCGCAGGGAAACGGGGGAAAAACGGGGAAAAATGGGAAAAAAAAAAATGGAGGGAAAATGGGGAAAAATGGGGGAAATTCTGGGGGGTCCCAGAGGGGGTGAGATCCCCCCCAGGCTCACCCTCGAAGAGGCGCCGTGGGTCCTTCTCGTCCAGCGTGAGCAGCTCCCGCGCGGCCTTGCGGATCTTGGCCAGGGTGAACTTCACCCTCCACACCTCCCGCTTGTTCCGCAGCCCATACTCACCTGGGGGGGAATATTTGGGGTCGAGGGGGGGTCCTAAACCCTCTCCACAAACCTCTCCAGAGCAGCCAGACCCCCCCCCAAAAAAACCCCCCCTGATTTGGGGGAACTTCACCCTCCACACCTCCCGCTTGTTCTGCAGCCCAGACTCACTTTGAGGGGGAACTTTTGGGGTCGGGGGGGGGTTCCAAAACTCCTCCAGACCCCTCAAATCCCCCCTGGACTCACCGATGAGCTTCAGCTCCTGGTCGAGCCGGGACTTCTCGAAGGGTCTCCGGGGGGTCACGTAGGTTTTCCTGCACACCCAGCTCCGGGCGACCGGCATGGTGGGCGCTGGGAAGGGCGGGGACACGGGGGGTCAGACCCCTTCCTAAAATACACCCACAACCCCAGGGATCCCCCAAAAGGGGAACTCACGACCAGGACCCCAGATCGAAACCGCTGAGGGGGACTTTAAGGGTGTCAGAGAGGGTTTAGGGGTCCCGGGGGGGGGGTTGTGAGGACTCAAGAGGATTTGGGGTGTTCCCCTGGGCAAGGGGGGGGAGGTGTCCATATTCTGGAAGAAGGTGTGAGGGGCTCTGAGGGCATCTGTGGGGATCCCCAGGGGTTTTGGGGGGTCCCGATCACCCCATTATTGGGAAGACGCCTTGGATGGGACCCCCAAAGCGCTGACGGGTTGATGTCGCGATCTGGGACTCCCCCAACATCCCGCTGGACTACAGTGTACCCCCAACCCTCTGCCGAGCCTCTCCCAGGCCCCGAGACCCCCCGAGACCCTCCTGGGACCCCAAAACGAGTCCCCCCCCCACCCACCACGTGTCGCACCCTGCGCACGCGCGCGTCTCGCACAGGCCGCGGGCGCCCTCGGGCACCCTCCCCACCCACCCCGGGGGTCTCGGGGGATCCAAAGGGGGTTTCGGGGGGCACGAGAACCCCCGGGAGGACCCCACAGACCGCCCGGCCCTGCGCGGCCCCCCCCAGCCCGCACCTCAGCTCCGCGGCGGCCGCGGCGACGGAAAGAAGGCCGCGCCTGGCGGGGCTGCTTTATATACCCCGGCGGGGAGGGCCCCGCCTACCGGCGCTGAACAGCCAATGGGAAGGCGCAGTGAGGATGGCACCGGCCAATGGGAGGGCGGGGAGAGGAGAATGGAGGGCGGGAGCGGCCGCGCGGGGGCCGCCATGTTTTCCTGAGGGCGGGGGGAGAGCGGGGTCCTCCAAGGGAGGGAGGGTGACACGGGGGGGGACACGGAGGGACAACAGGGGACATTGGAGGGACAGTGGGGGACATTGGAGGGCACAGGAGGGCAACAGGGAGGTGGAGAGACATTGAGCACATGGGAGAACAACGGGGCAAGGCCCCCCCCTGCAGCCCATTCCGGCCTCCAATTGGCTCTCCGAGCTGTCAATCACGCCGGACGAGCCCAGCCCCGCCGGCCTGGAGGCGTTGCCATGGCGACGGCGCCCCCAGGCGGCCCCCGAACCGCCCTCAGCAAAGATGGCGCCTCCGCGCCCTCCCCGCCGTTTCCTGCAATGGCGGCGCCGCCCTCAACAGACATGGCGGCTGCGCGAGGGGCGGGCCCAGCGCCCCCATTGGCTGCGCGCGGGGGCTCCTCGCAGCGCCATTGGCTCGGCGGAGGGGGACGGGCTAGAACTTCCGGGTCGGAGGTCACGGCGGCCTGAGGGGCGACGGCGGAGCCGGTGGGGACCCCGGGGGGGACAAAGGGGGGGG